TTGGATGTGGATGGGGTTTGAAGTAGTCACAGTAGGGGCTTGATAACAGGCCTAGTGTGGGGGGAAGCGTTAAACAACAGCCTCTACAAGGGGAAAAGTAGAGTAATTGTGCCAATATCTCATCAGTGGTAAATGTGGAAGTGTTCATCAAAGAGCGGTGAGCTTGCCCGCCTGACTCTGCCTGCTGCTGTCTGACCAGCTGACAGAATGATAGCTCCTTTGTACTTCTACCTTTTTGTCTCAGAATGTTCTGGCTTCTCACAAATTGAACTCAAGCTTTTGAAGTGAGTTGATGTGCTCAAATTCTCCTACCCCCCCCCCCCCTACTACTTCCTTCCACTTGGCCGGCCTGCTTGTCTTCTTCTGAATGCATTCTGCAGACTCAGGCTCCCACAACAAGATCTGAGTGCACATCCTGAACCTATATACAACAGAACAGGAACGCTCCCTCTGGCATCTGCAAACTTGTCAGCAACATATCCTCACAGCAGCAGCAACACGGCAACTACTGCTTCCTTGCAGTTTTCTCCAACGAGACAACACGGAACCCTATTGTCTTTCCATTTAATTGTGCTCCTACAGGCTGCTGGTTAGTCACACAACAGGCCAGAGCGGCATACCTCAGGGAAGGAAATGGTGTGGTCTAAAACTAAGAATTGGCATTGGATATATGTTCATACAGACACCCTTGAAGTGTGTACCGGTGCTTAGAGGAGCAGCTGAGAAGCCCTGTAGAGCCAATTACACACATAGCTTTAATCTCTTGAGCAAGCTGAAGGGATCGAGGGGGGGGGGGGGGGGGGGGGGGGGGGGGAGAAAAAAGGGTGGATAGCAGAGGGCAATAGTAGGGTAGGAATGACAAGCAGGAATGGATTGATGAGGAGAAGTAAGGGACGTCTAGGGAGAAACAGGATAGAGACAGCAGGAGGGTGCTTTGGAAAGAGTTGGAGAAAGAGAGGCTATGGAGAGTGGTTTAGGAACGGGAGAAAAGACGGACAGAATGAAGTAAAGGAACATCGCGGTTATGGGGTGAGAAAAGATTGACAAAGAGAGTGAGGGCAGCTCCGAGCCTCAACATGGCGTTAGATGGAGTGCCCCCAGTCAAGACACATATATCCGTCTAACTTTTATCAGTTAAATGGAAACAGCCCTGAGAGCCCCATAGGCGGAACGTGAGACTTCTTACACTTGATGTTTCTATTCCCCCTCAAGCGTTGTCAAAGGCAACAAGGTCTCCCTTTAATGTGTTCTATCTGCCTGTCATGTCAGCTGCCTCCGTCTCTGTCTTTCTTACCTTTTCACTCTTTCACCTTTAGCATTGAGATCTATAACTCCTATTTTCTCTTCGTACTTTCCTTTTGTTTAACCCTGGCCTTCTCATTTCTTTTTTTTCTCTCCGCTAATACTCCCCCCTCCCCTCTACCATCGTAATGTTCTCAGAAATTACACTGAGGTAAACAGAGCAGGGTGTCGAAATGAAATAACAGCTACAGGGCTGTCAGCTCTAGCGAGTGGGCCATCCGTCAGCGGGAAATGACATGTCAGCTGCCCCCCCCCCCCCTCCTGTCACACACACAGTTGGATTCATCCTGTCCTCCTGCTGGCAAGGTGAAGGAATTATGCTCATCAAAGGCAGTAGCGTAGCCTGGAGCATTTCCATTAGCTATCTACAACACTGGTCAATGGCATTGGGACAGACATCGACACACAGACACCTGCGCAGCTTTACACTATATAGATTTGAAGGAACATACGCATAATTACTCTGGGATGGGATATATATACACAGGTACACACACGCACACACACCTCGATTACCGTTTCATTCTTAGCCTGACAGCAGAGCGTGTGCGAAGGCTGACATTAAAGGAAATGAAATCTCCTTGTGGAATGGGGCAGCCCATCTCACCTCCCGTCAAAATGCTCCCAATTCCACTCCTCTCGTGTAACCTTCTCATCTGGGTATTTAGGGCTTTGTGGTGCGGAACGTCATCAAAGAGGAAACTTAGCGAGGCGGCCGCGCGTAGATGAGGCCTCCCAGCGTTAATCCCCCAGCAAACGGAGCCCCTCTACCATTAGCCCACGCACACAAATTACCGCTTCACGTTCTGTCGCACTCTTTCACCGCGAGTACTGTCACAAGTGCTTTCATTGGAAAGCGTGCGCACACACACATAAACTCTCGTATCCTTGGCTTAGCCCAGTGACTGAGTCAGTCAGTTACCTCTTTGATCCAGACCTCCTGTCTGCATTGGAATATGGAGCGTATTTGACATAATCCTGAAAAACATCGCCTCACATAACCAATGAAACTCAAAGGAAAGCACAGCTGCACACCAAAGGGACTTAGTGGGAGAGTGACACGTGTACAGTAGATTTTTTACGGGCAGATTTAATTAAGCCTCATTCACTTCCAAATCCTGTGTTATACAAATTCTTGTGAAGGCTTTCCGAAGCACGTAAATGTGACAAACCTACCGAGGAAAGAGCAGTATAGTTTGCCCTGAAGTTAGTTAATTGAGTTCCTGGTTAAGAGTGTCGGTTTTCCCGCTTTCAGGTTGGGCACCAGCTCCCTCCCGAAGGCTTTAATCAGATCAAACATGTCCTGTCAGATAAGACAGCTAATTAATCAGGGAAGAGACCAGTCTTCTCCTCTGACAGATGTAGAGATGGAGGCACGGAGCTGGTGGAGGCACTTCCTCTCCTCCTTCTTAACCTCTTCCTCCGCCGTAAACAGAAAGCAGAGCACGACATAGTTAGACAGCGTTGCCTGTGGTGAAGCACAGAGAGACTGTACAGATTCTCAAAGACGGTGTTTGCATGCAGGCTGCAACTGAAGTCTCTCCACAACCCCCCCACTGAGAAGACAACAGATCTGCACTGAAGATGCTGTTAACAGTACTGCATATGCGTGTGAAAAAGATCACTTAAACTGAATTCAAAGTAAAGTAGTGCTATAAACCGAAAACAAGTAGCATTGTGGTTTACCAATTAAAAAACGTGTTAAAGTCTTGTGTATATTGTCTTAATTTTGACTTTGGGCAAAAGTTATTCTACTTGCCTTTGCTTCACTTCTTCTCTTATTGCCACTTCCTAAGGTTTATGAGACTAATCTTGCACAATCCAATTGGGCCAATCCTGAACTAATGAAATGAACATTATTCTTTGTCTTTATTGTTATTACATACATTTTATAGATCTATGTCTTGCTAAATTGCTAGTGTTATTCATGATAGATATAATAGCCCTCCATATATAATAGAGCCCAACCATCACACTGATTATTTCCTAACCAAACGGCAATACTCTTTTAAAAGGCCCTCCACTGCTCACACTATTGATCTAAACTAGAATAATGTGTAACCATCTGTTATTATGGGTGAGGGGATGTTTACTTTTGATGTATTGCATTAAATACATACATTTCAAATTAAGTTCACAATGGCGTTCTGAAATCATACATCTAGAACCACGAAAAAGAACACATCTATTCATTATCTTTCAGTTGAATACACTCAATTGACTGACCCTAATTTAAATTCGTATTTGGATGGTACAAGATGAGTCCTCTACAAATACCTGAAGTGGATGTAAATCTTATCAACATGTTCCAGCATTCCCTCATCACATTACGCTTGCCACAAACCACAACATGGATGCCTTTTTGTAATATTGCTTGGTGCTGGTTGCTGTTGTAGGAAAGCTTGGGAGATGTGGGTGTTGGATAAAGAGGAGATGTGATGAATGAGAGCTGGAAGCTGATCAGAATCTGGCCGGCTGCTTGATTGGACGGTTTACTTACAACATGGGCGGGAGGATGGATTGAATGAGATTTGATATGCGAGAAAGAAGGTGCTGATGTGCATACAGCATCATTAAGATACATATTTAGAGATAAGGATGACATAATGTAGTTGAATGCTTCATTTAGAGACGTCTAGCATAGATGGATGGATAGCTGGTTGACGTACTTGGTGGCTGCCTGGCTACTCGTGGGGCTGGGGCTGCTGTTTCCAGCTGTTCTACTGTAGAGCTCTACTGCTACCTCAGGCTCAACCCACCACCAGCTGTGCAGCTTCACATAGCTAGCTGTAGCCTCTGGGCACAACACAGAAAATGCTGTTGTACCATACACACTACACAGCTTCTAACTTTCTCTCTCTATCTTTCCTTCACTTTAAACCTTAAGGGGACATATTAAGAAGAACTTGCTATTTTCAGTGCTTGTGCAAGATACAGTTTGGTATCAGAAGGGCCTACTAACCCACAAACAGAGAAATAAAACAACCATGTTTGGTAAGCTGTCTTGGTCATAAAACATGAGACTCGGCAAGCTTTGTCCCCTTCCTATTTCACATGCAGACTCATTAGAATATACCCCCCAAACCCATATTTGAGTTTCTGCTTCCAGAGCTTGAGAACTTCCTTTGTAATCTTGCAATTGGCTTTTCAGGGAAGGGTGCTCAAAGAGACAGGTGCTACACTGGTGTTTTTGCATAGGGTGAAAACAAGTATATACACACACAGTTTAAGAAGAAAAAATGTAAACCTGTTCTTTTGTACACCCAAAATCCAGGTATGAACCTGAAAATGTGCATAATATGTCACCTTTAACACTTATTATTGGTTTAAACCCCTGAAGCACCTGACAAACTGCAACTACATGTTTAGGATACATGTCTATACAGACTTGCACTGGCATTATACTTACCATTCACGCAAACCCATGCTGTGTATGTCTGTCTCACACATAGAGCCTAAGGCAAAGTGAACTATTGGTGTATCCATATGGCATGTGAGCAGATCAATGTGTGAGTGTCAATAAGGCCAAACGTCATGCGTGTGAATGTTGGCTGCATTGCGATGTAATAGCCCAAGAGGCAAAGATGATGCATATTTCCTACTTACTACACTTGTTGGTGATACATTATTTCTCATTTTCCCTCTCCTTTTCTCTCTCCATCTCCTCTATCAATCCTCCCCTACTCTTCTAACCCCTGGCCCTGCAGCAACAGGAGCAGGACCCCACCAACCTGTACATCTCCAACCTGCCGGTGTCTATGGATGAGCAGGAGCTGGAGAACATGCTGAAGCCCCTGGGTCACGTCATCTCCACGAGGATACTGAGGGATGCCAACGGGGTCAGCAGAGGAGTCGGCTTTGCCAGGTAGGTGCTCCTGCTATAGATAGATTACAGGAACGTTATAACTCGATACCTAAGGCAGATATGTGTTGCGTTAATGGGGAACTATGCCCCGTTTCAAAATACATTCATGTTTTCCATATGGTCTGTGACAGTCTAAAAATATTCGTAACCATAAACAACTCTCTCCTTAACCGAAAAGCTAGATTGCTAAAACTCAAATGTGAGATGTCATCAAGTATAAAGCGTGGAACTGCTCTATAGACACTGCATCGGGAAATATGTTCTTAATTAAGGTTTCCCTCTTAAATTCCATTTCACATTTTGAATGTTACATCACTAACAATGAATCATCTGCAAATGCACAGACTGAAATGCACACAAATTAACCAAAACACAGACGTTAAAATGCATTTGTGTGCGTATTCATCACTCTAAAAAGACACTAATCAGACGATCCCTTCTCCAGGAAGTGGAAACTTAAAAGGTGATTTGTTTGCCAAGCCTTTTTGACAGTGTGTCTGCCACTGGATGAGTTCCTCTTTGTTCATGCCTTTGCATTATAGTCTTATAATAGAATAGAAATAGAAATGATCTACTTATTGATTCAAGATTCAAGGCTTTATTGTCATGTGCACAGTAGCTACAGTGTAGATATGGCAATTAAAAACTTAAGTCACAGGCTCCTACTACAGTCCAACATGAATATATGTAGGACATAAACAAATAAAACAAATACAATAGTGCAAGAGAATGTATTGATGCTTGGTCATCTACATTCTTACTCATTCATGTATACCTTCAATTAACCCTTTGTCCTTATTATAGTCAGGTCTGCTATAGTTTACCCACAAGTTCTAACTTTGAATGGTTTATTTCTTTTTCTACTTAGAAAAGTTTCCACTTCAGCTTGTTAATCCCCCAAAGTCATAAACCACTCTGTCCTTGTCCTCGCCAGCAGCCACCAGGCTCTCATTGCTCTCCATATCCTCCCCTGTTTACCCAGAGGAGGCCACTGACGGCCGCAGAGCCGCCATCTTGCAGGGATTTTTCTTAATCACCTGCTCAGGCTGAACTCCTCTCCTATTCCCTGCTCTATTACTGAGGGTTACAGCAGGACAGACGAGCACAAACACACACAAACAGGCACTTAGGCACACATATGAGCACGCGCACAGACATGCCTGTACAAATGTGCATAATAGGCACACATGCATTGACGTGTGCTCATGTACCACCACACATATTAGTGTGCAGACTCTCACACTTATGCACACAGACCGGTAGGCAGCCTCCTGTGGACCAACAAGCAGAGCACAGCAACAACCTGCCACAGGCCACCTGTTCCAGCAGCCCTCTGCGGGGAACAGACATGATGGAAATGGGAGAGTGAGGCGGCAGGAGAGAGAGGGACAGGAGTGTGAAACAATGGCCAGGTGAAAATAACTTATCATAGAGGTTATTATAAAAGAAAAAGTGAAGGTGATGGGAAGGAGACGGCAGTGTGAGATGGAGAAAGGTTGAGGAAAAGTCATTGAAACAAGTGAATGTGGGTGTCTGAGAGTGAATCTGAATGACTGGTTACTTGGTTAGGGGAGAAAGGAAAAAAAGATTGTGCAATTGATTAAAACAAATAAGAAGAAGAAGCTTAAAAAGATTCATGGATGTGTTTTATGAATTGTAGTTCCTGTTAAGGCCCGGACACACCAAGCCGATTTTGGCCGTCGGTGGGCGTCAGGCCGACGATGAGCGTCGACACGCCCTACTCAGATTGGTGTGTCCCGCACCGTCGTGTCTTTTCAGCCGTGCCGACGCCTTTTCGGCCAAAGGCAGTCGGCAAAAGAAATCACTCTGATTGGCTGTTCAGCTAGCGAATCAGTGCATGAGAAGCGAAACGGAAGTGAGGGACCCAAACAAACTATTAAGAAGGCAAATCTGAGATTTCATTTAACTCAAGCTCTCGACACAGGTTCGGGAAAGCCCCATGAGCTTCTCGCTGTAGAGTGAAAATGGAACGCACACGCTATTTGTTGTTTGTTTATATCACGCAGTCTGTTCTTCTTCTCTCGGTTATCACGCAGTCTGTCTTCCGGTTGTTGCCTCTTTTGAATGACGAATACACACTACCGCCGCCTGCTGGTAAGGAGAGTTATTGCCACTCACGCATGCGCAGTTCGTACGTGCTTCTTGGCCGTCGGCTGAAGTCTTTGCGGTGTGTTCCAGTGCGACACATGGCCAAAACGCAGAGACGCGAGGACGACGCAACAGTCGGGGTCCGTGTGTCAGTTCTTTGGTGTCAGCTTGGTGTGTCCGGGCCTTTAGCTGTGTCAACAGACAGACAGATAGCTGCTGAGGGTTGGGCCACGAGGGGCATTAGAGAAAGTAAACTGAGCTTAGTGTTTGTGGGCCGATCCATTACTGTTATCAGAGCCCATTACTCCAGCTCCAGCGCTAATCATTGCAGACAGCAGCACCTGATGCCATTAACCAGCAGCACACAAAGAGCCAGCCTGCCTCAACGCCTACCTGGCTCGCTCTCTCACTGAATGGCTTCCCCGAAAGTCGCTCGACAGCCTGGCTGACCGGCTTGTTTCCCTGCGACTGACTAACAGCCCGTCTGCCTTATTTACTCCTCGTCTGCCCACCTGTTTTCTGTCTACCTACCTTTCTTAAAAGAGTTGATCAGGACACAAACAATGAAAAGCCAGAGGGGATGTGAGGCGGATGGGTAAAGAGCACTGGAGAATAGCGAGGGAAGCTGAGCATCAACACTTCCAGTCTGAGAATCTCTTGAAACTCCGGAGAAGAGTTGTTGGTTCAACCTGATATTCAGCCCATTTTCAAGATAGACAGCAAAAATACCACAACAAATAATCTCAAAGAAGTGTTGCTTTTGATAAAGCAGTACACAAACATATAATTCACAACAAGTAGTTAGGCTTTAGTGAAAATTATGTTTGAATTTTTGGGGAATTATCATCTGTTTTTACTATATTATATATATTTGTATCTGTGAATACATGTTTTTCACAAACTGTTTCACTCTGGGCACAGAATCAAATATTCAGAGCTGGATATTAAACCCAAATGCTTTTTTTGGTAGTGATCGAAATATGAAAGGCTTACTTGAATGTGTACTTTATCCAGTTTCTGTTCTTATTCTTTGATCAAATATCATTTAAATGATAATCCATGTATGGCTTCTTGTGTATACACATTTCATTGGAGAAGTCTGGTCTCTTTTGTTAAATCAAATTGACATAACAAATATAATATAACAAATGTCAAACCATACCCAGCTCTTACTGTATATAATGCATGTTTTTATTAAATTAGTTGAATGCCAGTGTTGATTTTGACTTGTTCAGTGCATGTGTTTAGGGCCTGTTGAGTGATCAGCTGAGTCACACCAGCTCAGTCTTCCCAAGTATAAGAGTGGACAGAGGAAAGAAAGAGAGATGGGGAAAAGGGTGCAAGAAATTGTGAAAAATCACATATTCTAAAAAGAGAATCAAGGAGAGGAAAAGGAAGAATGGTGTTGATGTGGTTAGGGTGCACAGAGAAACAACCGGATGCACAAAGAATGAAGAAAAGGAGGGCATGGAAAGTGAAAGAGATGAGGCGGAAGAGAGATAGGGTAACGGTGAAAGATGGAGGAAAAAACCAAGGTTGAAAGACCGGCAGGAATGAGAGAGATGTCAAAAAGAAGAGGTGCAGACGGGTCGGGAGTAAGATGGATGGGACAGAGAGCGATAAAGAAGCTATGTTAAAAAAAAAAAAAAGTAAGAAACTAGATGGGAGACGGATGAGCGAGAAAGAGGACAGAGAAGTGAGAGGCTGACAGGATCACATGAGTATTCTTGGAGGGGAGACCGCATAAAGCATGAAAATCTGGAAAGCAATGCATTCTGCAAATTCTAAGAGCATATTACCATAAGCATAGGAACGGCAATCACTCAAACCTGCACTTAAAAACACACTCATTTTTACATGAGTTATTTTGTGAGTCTATCAAATACCTGCATGGCAACACACCATGGTAACATTCATGTTCCCCTTGGTATGAATTGTAATAACTTATGTGTTGGTGCATGCCAACATTGTATACTTTTGAAAAAAAAATGTTTGTGTTTGATATACTTATGTAAGAGTTTGTATGGGTGTTAGAGTCTCTGTGCTTATGATGTGAGAGATCAGAGCCCTCCTGCTGGTCGGCTGCTCGGCCCACAGACTTTTGATCTCTCTCTCTCGCTCTCTCTCTCTCTCTCTCTCTCTCTCTCTCTCTCTCTCTCTCTCTCTCTCTCTCTCTCTCTCTCTCTCTCTCTCTCTCTCTCTCTCTCTCTCGCTCTCGCTCTCTCAAAATCCGGAAATAATTAAGCCTGTTGCTTCATGTGTGAAGAGTTTCAGTTCAAAATGGAAACAAGCAATGTTGAGTTGATTACAATCACAGCACTGCTCTCAATGGACTCACCTTAAAATATGTTGCTTTACAAAAAGTACCGTGGTGCACTTGAGAGGTCAACTTTATCTGGGTCGTAACCGTTTATTCAGATTTTGCTTTTTTTTTTTAAACTCTTAATGTACAGTACCACAAGCCATTTCTAATTGTGCCATCATTTAATGTAAAATAATTGTATTTCCTAGGAAGGACTGTCGACCTTTGCTACAAATGGATAGTGGCTATTCTTTTGAAATCAAACCCTATGTTTCTGTTTTGTTGCAGGATGGAGTCCACAGAGAAATGTGAGGTTGTGATACAGCATTTCAATGGAAAATACCTGAAAACCCCACCAGGCATTCCAGGTGAGTCTCCCCCTCTTTTTGCTTTACATTGTTCTCTTATCACCCCTTTCATTTCCATCTGGGAAAATGATCACCTTTGCAATGAAAGAAACGTCTTATTCAATTATGGTAATTTCTCATCTGAGATCTGCCGGACAGCTTGATAGATTGTGTACAGCGTTGATTCTGACACCTGAAGCTAGCTGTCTCTGCTATGGCTGAATAGCTGACGGCTCTGTAAGCCTCCTCCTCTCTCTCGGTCTCTCTTATTCTGTCACCTTCTCTTTCCTTCGCTGTTGGTGGCGCTGCTGCAGACTGAAACTTCTTGGGAAGGAGAAAGCCCTTTTAATATTCACACTCATGCCTCTGTGCTGTTCTTTGCAATCTACTTAAGAGCTTGCACTCTCCCCTCTTTCCTCTCCTGCTCCTTCTCTCTGTTGCTGTGTCCTCTCTCCTTCCTATCTTTCTTTCCTGAAGTCACCCTAGACAGTGGAACAAGCTGGCCAAGGAGAGAAACAGGCAGGGGAAACAGGGCGACGGAAACATTTCACAAAATGAAGACAGATGTCTGGACAAGGTGTTGGAAAATAACTTTATTTTTTATACAGGACTCAAAGTGGCATCATCGTCCCAAAAGTCTAAAACAATGAGAAATTGGATGTTGGAAACAGAGCATTTCCTAAGGGAGTAAGGATGTCAAGAGGGGCTAACAAAAAGAAAAGCAAGGTGGAAAGGAGAATAAAGATATGAAACAAAAAGGAAAGGCCAGGATGAATGAAAACTATGCTGGCTAAGCACTTTCGGGGCCAGTGGCAGCGCTTCTGGAAGCCTCCCATGGGCCCCAGCAGGACGTGGGGGCCAGACAGAGCCAAACCGACGAGATCTCCACCACCCCTTTTGCTATTTTATTAACAATACTCACTCCTCCAAACAGCAGGTCAGAAACAGACCCATAAATTGCTCTCCAATATACAGTAATATCCCAGAGAGACTAGATTTAGAATCTCCATATATGCTGAACTATACTGCATAGCCAGCAGCCATTAAAGGCAAGGTGAGTGGTTATATTGAAGTTGAGCCGTAAGAGGAAACCTTTAAGCTGTAATATCAGGCTGACCTTCCCCTTTAAGGGTCTATCTCCTGGCCGCGCAGGCTTTATTATTGTTAATGGATTGTTCAGACTTGTGCCAAGCATGAAGATTTACGGCCCTGATCGAGGATATCTTTTGTGGAATTAGGAATAGTTACATTTACAAGGTCTGCTCTGTCCAACACTGCTGCGATCCCTCCTAACGTTCGTGTATACATGTACCTGAATGTACACACAAAAAGTTTGTATAGTTCATTTCTTGCCATGTTTAATTTGGGGTGATTTGTAAGATAATCAATTTCTCGGTTAGTTACAACTAGGTTATCATTTTGTAATTTAAGTTACAATAAATGACATGTACTCACTTTACTCCTCTTATAAAAAATAGTTATTCTTGAAGGGTACATGTATTAATAAGGTTAGAATTCTAAAATCCTCTCCCTCAGATATTTTAATGGTGCATACTGATAGAGTAAGGCCCACTCTGTCATTCCTTTAATGCTTTTACCGTAGTTTTCCATTTACAAGAGTTTGGGCGTTGCTGAAATGAGGTTTTTTGCCGAATTTATGACATGATGAGTTGCTGTCTGCTAAATGGAGATCTCTGGACATTCCTCTGTTATCAGACTCAGATGTTGCTCTGCAGAGGACCCCAGGGTTGTTTCTGTTTCTCAAACATGCAGCGAGTAGCCCTTTGTAGATGGAGATATGCGTGTCCCTGTGTGTGTGTGCTCTTTTTTCACTACATGTGTTTATTTTCTGATTCATGCGTGCATATTAGGATTTATGCATTTTAAAGTGTGTGTGTGTGTGTGTGTGTGTGTGTGTGTGTGTGTGTGTGTGTGTGTGTGTGTGTGTGTGTGTGTGTGTGTGTGTGTGTGTGTGTGTGTGTGTGTGTGTGTGTGTGTGGTGTGTGTGTGTGTGTGTGTGTGTGTGTGTGTGTGTGTGTGTGTGTGTGTGTGTGTGTGTGTGTGTGTGTGTGTGTGTGTGTGTGTGTGTGTGTGTGTGTGATGTTGGTGGTATTTCCCCAGAGCCCCTTGCTATGCAGGGCAGCTTCTTCATCCATCCTGCTTTGACAGTTCAGCAGCACCCCCCCCAGGGGCCCTCGCCACACACAGCACAGCAGGAGCGCGTGTGTGTGCACGTGCATGCGTATGCTTGTGTGACAGCCATGACTACTATACACAGCCTGAGCCTTGACACATACACACCCACATGCACAACCGCATGAGCACAAATAGTCATGCAACACTAACTTTGACCTGAATGGAATGTCAACATCCATATAATGCTAATAAGATCCCTTTTTTTTCCACCATTTATCGTTGGTAACATACTCCACATAAACACACACAAAGTTACACAACACTCAGCAGGCACACACACGCATACACACACTCTTCTTGATGTACCAAGCTTGCGCTCCAATCCTCTGAGCCCATATCTATCTGACAAGTCTCTGCATTTCCTGCTTAGCTACTCAATCACACCATGTCAAGGTGTGTGTGTGTGTGTGTGTGTGTGTGTGTGTGTGTGTGTGTGTGTGTGTGTGTGTGTGTGTGTGTGTGTGTGTGTTGTGTGTGTGTGTGTGTGTGTGTGTGTGTGTGTGTGTGTGTGTGTGTGTGTGTGTGTGTGTGTGTGTGTGTGTGTGTGTGTGTGTGTGTGTGTGTGTGTGTGTGTGTGTGTGTGTGTGTTGGTCTCGTTATAGTTTGCCCTCCTATATCAGGTGTGTCCAGGGGCAATACAAAAGGATATTGAGTTATAATGTTGCTGTCCAAAACCAGGAAGTAAATGGATGTCAGGTGACAGGTCATTCGTTCAATTCAACTGACCATGGGAAAATAATCGGAAAGGAAGCAGCCATGTTGGCAGGAAGTCAACGATAAGTTGCGGATATGGCAGCAGAGGACTGTGGAGATGCTAGCAGATGGCAGTTAATGGCGCCATAGACAGATTCCATACACTTCCTGTTTAAATTGTAATGTAATAACATCCAACTTCCTTGTGATTACATGAGATGTTGAGTTGATATACAGAGTGTGGGATGTTGGCAGATGGCTGCTAATGATAATTAAATAGCTTCCCTATTCTTACTGTTATGTTTTAATGAAATCAGGCCTAATATTCTAGTGGTTACATGTTTTATTTAGATGCAATATCGTGTAATGCACTTTTGATTAATGTGACTGCTACTAAGTGTCGCCATGTACAGAATGTAAGGTGTTATATCAATACTTGTAGACATCGTTTATCAGTGTACCATAAGTAATTAGTGCGTTAAACTTCACAAAAGTAGTTAAAGCAATAAAAGATGTCATTGTAACAAAGGCAATGCTCGCCAGGAATTTAATGAAATACTTGTCTGTGTGTTCCAGCAAGTTATACAGAAACAAGAACTACAGCACTTGTATATAAATGCGTCTAATAAGCTCTCCAGGTCATGTTTGTTTGGCGAGGCCTGGTTGATATGAGACGTGCGTAGCTTTCGTCCAACAAGCGAGTCACCGAGGCCTGCTCCAGCCTCTCCACTCTGCCCACGTCTGATTGTGATTCAGAGAGAGGGACATGATCGATAGCCCTGATGGAGCACTACAGCTGTTTAGCTATTCTGTGCAATGCGGCAGCCGCTCTCCCCGTCTCTGTTGCGGGCTGTGAGTGTGCATACGCCCGCACACAGATACAAAGTCATTCACATGCTACATGGATATAGCCTGTATGCCATAGGACAAATAGGTGTGTATATTGACATATATTCGCATGCACAAACACATTCCTCATTTAAATGTATATAAAAGAACATAGGATAGACAAATATAGATGGACTTAAACACCCATGTAGACACAATGGACGCCTTTTTGAGACATCATCAATTTATCCTTATTTTCAGTGCATGTGAATTTACTCAATACACAAAATAAATAGAATTTATGAAATGTGACTACAGCAATAAAGCATAGTGAAGTGAGCCCAACAGGGACGCATTATGATTTACACTGCAACCCTGAGCACTGGGAAAGTCAAAGGAAGCGCAGATAAAAAAGTGATTTAATCCGCTGGCTCCACTGAGCCTCGCTGATTAAAGCCCTTCGTCCCACAATGCATTAAACAGCTTAGAGATGACACCCTATGGTAAATGTAATTTGAACCGGAGATACATTAGCCATTGTTTGGTTTTGGCAGGTGAGTAATCCCATGTACATCCCGTATTGTGTGTGAGCCGTGGCAGAGGAAATTGATAACATTTGATACATGTTCTGTGCTGCTCAGGCAACTGCTGCTCTTTGTGCAATTTAACTAGATTTCACTGTCAACAATCGAACAGCAGCTAAATAAACAAGGTGTGTTTTCAGATGGGTTACATACAGGTAGTGTTGAGCGTTAACAAATGACAGTGTCAGACTTCAATGGATCCAGCTTTTTCATGAATGTCTAACAGTGCAAATGTGCAAATAGAGATTTAGTCCGACTGAATGAGAACTTTCCCTACAGATTCTTCCTTTTCCATTCTGTTGTCGTTGCTCTCTCCATTGTCCCTCTGCCAAGATGGCAACAGAGCTTAGGGTAGGCTCCAATAATGTCCAATAGATGCTGGATAAATAATGGAAACCACATCAGGAAGCAACCACAGTGGCCCTGGGAGATGGAACCAAACGGAAACATGCAATATGTACAAGCTTTCCTGCTTCTTTTTTATATAGTAGTCTGGCATTTCTCTCTCAAACTTTATATTTGTTCACTATTTCTCTGTCTCTCCTCACCAACACCCTTTTCTAATAAAACATACTGTATATGTAAGCCTACAGTAAAAGGCATTTTCTTCATGGGGACGTGTGGAAATCAGTTTTCCAATTTACTTCCCTGATCCGTCGGAGATAGAGATGACACCCAGCCTTTGTAGAAAACCGCCAGCTGTCAGGCTTATGCTAGACA